GCCTGATACGAGAGGGATATCTTTGTTTTCATGATTTCATTATTGCTTAATATTTTCTGCAAATTTAGTAGTTAGTACATAACCTCCATTGTTAGGTTCATGTTTTGTTTTATTGTTTGAAAGAGCATATCAATCACGAGCTCTGTTTTGTTCGTGAGAACCCAGAAATGATGTAATATAATTCGATTATTATTGTCTTTTTCCTAGGCAACGAACTGTTAGGCGACACTTAGAAATGTAAGTTTATACGTCTTTTAACATTGAACATCGTAAAGGAGGCTTACTATATCAAATATCGAAAACAGGGTTTATGTATTAGCTTTGCCCCTCGTTTGGACAGGGACACCGTAAAAAGCTTAAAATTGCTGCCGACCCTGTACTCTCATACTCACTACCTCAACAGTAAGTATTTTAGCACACAACGCTCCTCACATTTTTACTGAGGGAAGAAAACCGGAGGATCCGGAGAAGACCTCGTGGCAAGGGAGAGAACAACACATCAAACAAACTCAAACTCACATATGGTCTGTGCCCGGGAATCGAACCCGGACCACAGCGGTGAGAGGCCAGCAGCTTAACYACTAGACCACCCGTGTCACGGGTAGAATGTCGGATAGAATGTCGAATGGTTATTACGAACAGCGATTACACGACAGATAGGAGCCAAGGGTTTTKCTAATTGGTGGGAAATAGCATTCAAAATGTGTCCAAGAAGAAAAAAATTGTTCATAGTCCCCTCTGATCATGTAGACTCCCTTGGACAATTGCATGGCCTTTGCCGTTCTCCCTGACAAAGTTTTTTCAAATAGGTGTATAACTGTAATAACGCACCTATTGTGTCGGTATTCAGGATTATTTTTTAATTATTTTTCCTTCAACAGGATAGGGAACATCCATGGAATTACAAATAATAAAGTGGCTAAAAAGAAAATGATAGAAGAACAGTCTCACCTAACTTTGACGTCTCGATTTCGAGTAAGAATGAAATAAAAAATAAATTGAAATCTAGAAA